AAATCCAAAAGATGCATATGAAAGATGAATGTTTGAGAAATGTAACGTATATTCATATATTACTGTGGTTTTAGCCGTTTGGCTGTAATTCGTATTCAAAGTTTAAAAAATGCTCGAAAAAGTAGTGTTTACAACAATTTGTATGATCGAAATCCACTAATTAATATTTATGCAACCAAACAATCAATTCTATTCAGGAGTACCTCAGGTTCATGTACTAAATTCTAATTTTCAAAAAAATTGTAAAATTATTCTCATAAAATGATGAATAATTACTTAACTAAACAATAAAACTGTTAACTCTATTTGGTCACGGAATAGCGAATATAAGAATGAAACTGTTTAAGCAAATTGGTGATTATAAATTTGTGCGGAGGCTCGCACGAAATTAAATTGGACGTCCAATTATAATTAGAGCACGGCCGCCTCCGTTCAAAATCCATCATCATTTTTTTCATTTACTTCTTCGTTTATTATGCACATACTTTTTTCTTTTTCCTGCTTATACATTGCTAATAGTTGCAGTGCTTTACTTCTTGAACTCTTCGAAATTGAATTAAGAAATGCAAATCGGATTATCCGCACTCACGTCTCACTCTTTCTTTCTGTTTATCCTCGTTAACATCGTAGTTCGGTGCTTTCTCTGTGGTGGTATGCACGAATGCTGCTGCGCTCGCCGTTAAATAATTATTAAATAAAGCCGCAATAAGTCGACTCAGTCGGCTCAGTCCATTGTTGAAACGCGTCGCAAGTTGATGCGCGCCGTCCGTGCATTCCCGTTACGAGTTCATTATCTATATCTATGTTCCAGAGTTCATGTGTTCTTTTGTAAAAACCGCTGATGAACAATCATATTTCGTGTCGAAGACGCGGAAACGTTAAAGTTAAAGCAGAGGTTTTCCTTCCTTCCTTCCTTGCTGAGATCTGAGGGAGGACGGTTAAGGTTTACACTTTATTTTGCTTCCAATCTAGAGGAGACAACCAAGTTATTTGAATGACCAGCAATACAGGTAATGTCATAATGCTCATAAACCTTGCTTCTAACTTGACAAGAAACTTTTGAATTCATTTAGACAAAAAAACATTGGTTTCATTGTAATAATTAGAGCAAAATATAAGACAAATTGTATAATTTAACAATGTGAAAACAAAACAATCGATACAAAAATTTATAAGTAATTAATCAACATTAATCTGAATTAATCGAAAAGTTAATTTTATATTACATAGTAAAAACAAAAAGAAATTAATTTTCCGTTTTTTTTTTAAGCAAATTTCATAAATTTTTCAATATTTTTAATAGTTAATTTTCAAAGTTTTCTTTCAATGTTCAGTAGAAACAATTACTATCAGATTTATTATCATCATTGAGATTTTCCTTTATTATATTAAAAAATTACTATCTAATTTAATTATGTAATTAAAGAAAAATCTGATTTTAGTTTTTAACAAAGTTTTATATAAAAATCACAAAAGTAGACACTTTTAATGACAAATATAACTTTAAATAATTAATAATTAATTTATATGACTTTTTTAGTTTAGTTAACAATACTTTTATAATATAACTGTTTAACTTCACTAAGATGACAGCTGTCATATAACGTGACTCATAAATTGAATTTGTCTATTTCTACTGCATTTATACAGCGACCCAATTGTTTATAATATAAATGTTTGACTTCACTAAGATGACAGCTGTCACATAACACGACTCATAGATTGAATTTGTCTATTTCTACTGCATTTGTACAAAGACCTAATTGTTTATAATATAAATTTTTGACTTCATTAAGATGACAGCTGTCATTTAACGCGACTCATAGATTGAATTTGTCTAATTCTACTGCGTTTGTACACAGACCCAATTGTTTATAATATAAATGTTTGACTTCACTAATATAACAGCTGTCACATAACACGACTCATAGATTGAATTTGTCTATTTCTACTGCATTTGTACAGAAACCCAATTGTTTATAATATAAATTTTTGACTTCATTAAGATGACATTTAACGCGACACATAGTGTGAATTTGTCTATTTCTACTGTGTTTATACAGCGACTCAATTGTTTATAATATAAATGTTTAACTTCACTAAGATGACAGCTGTCATTTAACACGACTCATAGATTGAATTTGTTTATTTCTACTGTGTTTATACAGCGACTCAATTGTTTATAATATAAATGTTTGACTTCACTAAGATGACAGCTGTCACATAACGCGACTCATAGATTGAATTTGTCTAATTCTACTGCATTTGTACAGCGACTCAATTGTTTATAACATAAATTGTTGACTTCATTAAGATGACAGCTGTCAAATAACGCGACTTATACATTTAATTTGTCTATTTCTACTGTGTTCGTACTACGATCCAATTATTTATAATATACATTTTTTGACGTTTTCACTAAGACAACAGCTGTCATTTAACACGACTCATAGATCTAATTTGTTTTTGCTACTGCGTTTGAACTACGACCCAATTGTTTATAACATAAATTTATTGACGTTTTCACTAAGATGACAGCTGTCATTTAACTCGAATTTGTTTATCTTTGCTGCGTTTGTACTGCCACCCAATTATAGTAATTATTTATTTATTTTTTTTGACGTTTTGACGCAAATTGACAGCTGTCATTTCGCGATCCACAGGTTGCTACTTTAAATATTTACCCGAATAGGACAATGCGACTACAATTACAAGACAATCGGTACATTTGCAAATCCAGATCAAAGCCTCATTAGCAGAGATTATCTAATTACCATTGACAATGCCATCAAAGCCACCCTTGTCCTTCAAAATCACATGAATGATTCAGTCTATAAAGTTTAACAACAACAAAAAAAATATGATTACTAATCGAAGGTAAACAATTTTAAATCTGTCGGATGAGAGAGACAGGAGGGAGAAAATCAATTGGCAGCAGGAAGCGTTACGTAAAATACCTCTTATGCTGCTGCCGCCGTCGTCGCAAGAAAATAAGTAATGCGTTTTGCGGCTTTATCAGGAAACTATTTCCGCGAGGATACGAAAAGCGTTTAGTTTTTGTTCTTCAAGTTCTTGGCACGAAGAACACAAAAAAAGCAGAGATGATGATGATGATGATGAATCTCTCACTCGCCTCGGTTTATAGCTCAATTTTGTGATTGCGCAAAACTCGAAAGGTCAACGAGAATTTTTTGAAGATGAACAACAAAAAATTAACAGTCGATCTGCATATTTCGTTGCTCTTTTGTCACGCTTTCGTCTGTTACCAACGCAACGTGTTATAACAATACTTTTTTTTTATTATTATTACCAAGAATGCTGTGAAACAGTAACAAAATGCCTATCTATAATTATTACGTGTGCACAGAGACAGATGAACTCTTTTCGTTGCGTGCAGCGGTGTAATTTTCGCGTTCGATGGCTTCGATTGCCGTTGCTGTTCCCGTTGCGCAACTCGCGCCCGAAATTTGAATAATTAATCGACAATTATCGGAGCGCGAAACCGTAAATCCGGACGTAACAATTATAATTTAATGAAAACAAGAAGAGTTGAGAGAGAGAGAGAATTGGGTTTTGCAGAGTCAATCCGGGTCAATTGTTCTTCTACCTGTACATGTTCTCTCGTTGCTTCCATTAAATCGCAGCCGCATTCTACTCGATTTATGGCTTTTTCTATTGGGAATCGAGAGGGCGGTGTGCGTGTGTAATTGCATGTATATAGAGGAGATCCAACAACTGAATGACACTAATAACAAATGAATAAAAAAAAACAAATGAATATGGAAGTTTTATTAGTGAATAGGAATGAAAACAACGCAAAAAGAAAACAAGTAAAATCGCTTCAAATGCATTATTTCATTCGAGTCATTTAAAAGAAAGAAAGGAAAAACTTGTGCTTAGCTAATTCTACGTCTACGTCACGTTGGAATTACAATTCGATGCGTATTTCCATTTTTTTTTTACATTGAATTCACAAATTTCAAACATTTTTATCTAATAATAAAAAACTTTAATTAATTACTCAAATTTAGGGAAATTTATTTTGGTTCAATTGGCAACATGTCAATTTGTCAAGTCAATTTGATGCCTCAACAGTATTTTGTTTATTTACGTGACACTTGATCAATATAAACATTCTATTTTTAACGAACGTCACTTTTGACATAACATAAATATGAACAACGAAACAAGTTTAAATCGCGTTTATTCAAATTATTTTTTTTTGTGGTGTATATTCAAAATTGTGAATGAATATAAATTAATGAATTGTTCAAATTGTACAAAATTGATTAAAAAAATCGATTGTTATTAATTTTGATTATTATTAATTAGATTAGATTAACTGATTTTTTTTTTTTTAGCAGGAAATAGAGTGTTATCAAACGGCATGCTTGATATTGCATAAACAACGAAGGTGATTTTTGCGTTACGCAATGTTTTGTTTTCATGCGACACTGGATTCAGGAAATATAGCGTGTCTCTGATTCGTTTTAACTGGAAATGATTACACTTGAAAATGAATTCAAATATTGTAAAGTTTATAAAAATTCTCTTAAATTTTGATATTTAATTTTATTGTTAGCATTAATCAAAATTGTGATTTTTTTTTTCCGAAATTCCTAATGTTGATCGTTAATGATTTGCGTAAACAATAGATAATCATATTTACGTAACAGAAGGTTAAGTTGAAACGAGCTGGGCAAATAATATATATATATATGTGTATGTATATGTATACAAAAGAAAAATTGCCGAGCTATTAATTACGTGCGACGGACGAAAACAACAATCGGAATTAATGTCTACTTGCATGTACGAGGAAGTTTTTTTTTCCTGCATTGAGACAGGAATTGATAATATCGTATTACTTTTGTCATCAAATCATGTAATATCTTTGAAAGCTGTCACTTTATGACAACTGTCAATATTGTGAGCTGTCAGTTATAAAAGTTACGTAATTACAAATATTTCAGTAAGAAATTCAAAGTTTGCATTTTTTTGCTAAAACAAATAATGAATATAAAATCTGTGTTAATTTTAATTGTATTATTAGTTTCTGTGGTCGTTGATTGAAGTAATACCTTTGAAAACTGTCATTAATGACAAATGTCAAATTATAAAAGTTACGTAATTACAAATATTTCAATTGTTGTTGCAGACGTAATTTAAAGAGTAATTGGTACATCTACTGAAATACTATTCAATTAGTTTCTAGTTAGGAAATGGGCGAGTAATACATTTCGAAAGCTATCAATCCTGGAAGTTGTCAACAAAGCTGTCATTTGCGAAGGTTAAGTAATAGTAGCTGTCAATCATGACAACTGTCAATATTGTGAGCTGTCAATTATAAAAGTTACGTAATTACAAATATTTCAATTGTATCTTGTAAGAAATTTAGTTCAAAGTTTGCATATTTTTTTTGTTAAAACAAATAATGAATATAAAATTTGTGTTAATTATAATTGTTTATTTGGTATTATTAGTTTATTTGGACGTTGATTCAAGTAATATCTTTGAAAGCTGTCAGTCATGACAACTGTCAATATTATGAGCTGTCAGTTATAAAGTTTACGTAATTACAAATATGTCAATTGTATCTCTTAAAAAATTTACTAAAAAGTTTGCATTTTTTTTTTGTTAAAATAAAGAATGAATATATAAAATCTGTGTTAATTTTAATTACCTATATGGTATTATTAGTTTATGTGGTCCTTGAATCAACGACCACATAAATACCTTTGAAAACTGTCATTAATGACAATTGTCAAGTTATAAAAGTTACGTAATTACAAATATTTCAATTGTTATTGCAGACGTATTTTAAAGAGTAACTTCTGAGATACTATTCAATTAGTTTCTAGTTAGGAAATGAGTGACGATCATCAATTCGAGTAATACATTTCGATAGCTATCAATCTTGGAAGCTGTCAAGAAAGCTGTCATTTGCGAAGGTTAAGCTAATATTAGCTGTCAATCATGACAGCTGTCAATATTATGAGCTGTCAGTTAT